CCCTACAGCTTCTCTGATTTATTTATCTTAAGCCAGGCCCAGACCTTGCCTTTCTGGTTCAAAAGCTCAGTTCCTGAGAGAAATCAGAGGGATGCTCCGGTGAACGTCACCAATCCACCCGGAGACCGAGACCAGAAACCGAGATGAAAGTTTAGAGCAAAAGTCACTTCGGTTTGACCCTACAGTAAGAAAATACCGAGTATTAAATGGCTGGAAAAACGCCTGCATCCACCAGGAGAGCTTCGCTCTGCCATGTGGGTGACTGTTACAGCTGTCTGGGTCTTAGGTTGTGTGTGTTATTCTAGCACGACCCTTCGGCCCTTTTTTATTGCAAATCACGCTGGAAAACGGCTTAGAAATTCAGTCAAAACAGAGAAGGGGCCTGATAAAATCCACTGCTTGCTGCTTGCGCAGGAAGTGTTTTTAGCTGGTGCTGTAGGTGGCTTTCTCCAGGCTTAAGGCTGTTTACCAAAACGTCTCGGATGATTTCACGCCTGCCGGGGTATTATTTCCACTTGGGGGGGATGAGAAGACTTGAAAACTCGGAGGGAATTTGCACCGGAGCGAAATAAGGCTACGTTAGCTGTGGATGAAGCACTCGGCAGCGCAAGGTGTTCTGGCCAGCGCATAGTGCTAAGCTCTAACAGTGCACGCACGGAGCACGGCATTTAGAGCAATGCAAAGCTTAAAAGCATGGAAATAATTGAAAACACGCTGTATCTAACGCTGCTTCCAAGCAAGCAGGTGTCTGGAAATGTAGATAAGCACGAGGCAAAAAAAAAAAAAGTGTAGAATATTATTTAGAGAGCGCACGAAGCACGGGAAACCTTAGAGGGGTTTTGTAACGGAGCTGGAGCGGGGGCCAAATGGAAAAAGAGCCGCTTTCCTGGCAGCTGCGGGAGGCGGATTTAATGCCAAACTTTCAGGGCAGGTGATGGTTAATAGCCAGCATCCTTAGGAGGGTCTTTTCAAAAGGTAAATGACAAAATGTAAAGTCAACACCGCATTCTCAAATGAGAAAACGGTTTAAAAAATTGTGTTTTTTAGCAAAGTTGGGGCACAAGCGTGTGCTGGCCCTGTGAGACAGCCCGGTGGCAGCCTGCAGGGCTGCATGTGCTTTGGCCTGCCTGTCCTGAAGGGCTGTCTGCCTTGCAGGGAAGGCTGTAAGGAACAGAAACCTCGGGACAGCGCAGCAGAACAGGCACATCCAGCACAGCTCTGGCTTTGGCCTCGCACCAAACGCGGCTCTCGCAGAGGCTGTAAAACAAGTAAAGTTGAGGATAAGCTGCTCCTCTTGGCGCGTTTACACTCAGTGCTGGGGCAGAGCCTGGAAGCCAAGAGCTCTCCTCAATTTGTGGCTGGGCCCAGCCTTGTCTGCAAAGCACCAGAGGCCCAGGAGAAGCCCTGCCAAAAAGCATCAGTCACAGCAAGGAGCCAAAAGTGCCAGCCTGTCCTCTTGGATTTCGCCAGCGATCCGCGTTTTCGCTCCGGAACACGCTGGGATACGGGAAGATTGGGCTCATTCGGAGCTTTCTTTCGGAAGGCGAAACGCCCAAGGGACACGACACGAACAAACTGCCGTGTAATTTTCAAAGCTTTGACTGCTTCAGAATAATATAATAATAATAAAAAAACTCGCATGGCAGGATATCCACGCGATTCTGCGCTTTACTCTGAGGAGTCATTTGTAGTCTGAGAAACAAAGCTTAAGAAGCAGAGCAGCTTTTCATCTCTTGGTATTGCTGAATCTGAATTAGCTCCTGAGAAAAGCGAGGTATAGCCCTGGCCTTAATGAACATCACCCTAATTCATGAATGAATTCATCCTTCAGGATTTCCAGCACAGTTGCAGAGGAATAGATGTTAATTAGGCAGCTCTTAAAGGTTTCTAGACAAGCTGTGATATAAGTCAACGCTGTTTCCTCTCCTCCCTCCAGCTGCTATTTTGCTTTGAAAAAGCCTGGAACGAACCCAAGCTTTTCAAAGCTGCGACCTTGCCAGGCCTTTGGCATCGTCTTCGCTCTGTGCAGAGCCAAACAGCCCTTTGTGGGCTCCTTGCCAGCTTCATAAATTCTTTATTAGCCCCAATTACTATTGTCACTTCATTTGTATTTATCGCCGGCGTGTAGGGTATGACCTAGGACCCACTGCTCGAGCACGGAGCCCCACGGGATGGGGTGGTTTGGGGGAAGCAAAGGTCTTTGTTGCTCATCCCGTGGGCTTTTAGGGGGGAAAAATCTTCAAAAATTAAAGGCAGAAAATGCAATCAGGTAAGAGACTCTGCAGAACAAGGGGTAGGGATTTCACACGAAATATATATATCACGTTAATGCAGATGAGACAAATTTTCATATATCCACACGGATATTTGTGTGTGTTTTAGCATTTGCTCCCTCGAGCCCGCCCGCCTGAAGAGCTGTTGCCTCTCCCAGGAGTCTATGTAGTGCTCAATAACTGCTCTCTAGGTGTTTGAATGCCAATCACACGAGCTATTAATACATTAAACAGGCCCTTAAGACAAAAAGAGAAATTCTATAGAAGATTTCCAGGGTTTAACTCAAGCAATTTGTGGTTTTTAGGACAGGCTATCGCAGGCAAACAGAACCAGCAAACCATGTTTTTGACATGAGTAGCCCCAAACTTTCGCTTCTGTGAAAATATATTCCATCCTCCCACCCCACAAAGCATCCAGGACAGGGAATCCTGTCTGCTCTTCCCACTCGGACCCTATCTTTTCCTGGAATTCTCTCCTTGGCCCTTGAAGCTCTTATTACTGCAACCACCTTCCAGTTTTGCAGCCAGCTTGACCACACGATGGACGGATTAACCTATTTCACCCTTTCTCTGGCTCTTTGGGCGTTGATTTATTCTTAAGGCCAGTTAAACGTGGTGCAGACCTTGTAAATTCTTGCAAAGCCCTTGCAGAGACGTGTCGCAAACACAGCTCAAAAATTCCCTTTTTTTCCAGCCTTATCTGGGGGAGGGGGGTTAGCAAAACAGTCAGCAAACAGCAATTCTCTTTACACCACTGAAATTCGACGTACAGATGGGAAAGAGGGAGATAGAATTTCCTTACCGTAACTGCCTAATTGTAGCCTGCCAAGCAGAGCTGACTGAGCTGGATATTGGAAAAGTCTAACGTTCAAACGCCTGGTTTCCTTGCCTGCTGCCCAGTGCACTGACAAAAGAGAGGGGTTTTTGGGGACCACACAACACACAGATTGTACCTGCACACAGGCCGAAGCGGGCACAAAGGTGTAGCACATTCAGCCCCAAAACCCCCCTTTTTCAGCTCATCTGTGGCCTGAAATCACCAGGATGGCCAACTGCCCTTGCTTGGCACCTCACTAGCTGTTCTTGCAACAAGTCTTGGTATCTTCAAGCCTTTTAGTTTATATGGATTCAGCTTCAGTCAGGAGAATTTGTTTCCTTTCAGTCCATCTGAGAAATCCAGCATTTTTTGCTCTAACAGGCTGAACACCAGAGCTAGGGACATGTCCAAACAGCAATCAAAGTGAAATTTGTTTTACAGCTTTTTTTTTTAATCCTCCCTCCTTCAATATTTTTGGCCCGATACAGATGCATCCTGCCAAAATCTCTCCCCGCTGCACTATCATTCCATGAGCTATTTCACACCTCCCTTCTAATTCCACCGTGGAGCCAAATCCAGCCCGACACCTCTGGTATCCGACACGTGACAGAAGGGAATCTTTCCCTGGACATTAGGAGAGGCCTTGAGATGTCAGGGGGGAAGTATCTCCATGGTGGGAATGATCCTCAGCTGCGCTGCTCCTTCCATGCCTTTCATTGGATCCAGATGCCATGAGTTTTGTGAGCATCTGAATGACAAGGATGCAGGCTGGAAGGAGAGGTGAATCCCAAGCATGGGGTAGGGAGAAATTCCAGCTAATTGAGAGGATTACTGGGAAAATAAAAAGGAGGGAGTGACTTATGCTGTGTCCACCCCTTAAAGGGATGAGGCCAAATCCCAACGATTTTAGTTTGGTAAAGCCCTGAAGAAGAAGGTGCTGGACACCTCTCAGCAGCTGGGCAGGAGTTACAGCCCTTTTCCTCAAAAATTAGCTGGACACAGCCCCACAGCCAGCCTCCTTCTCCTGGAGCTAGGGAATACGTAGGGAAAAAACCTCCTGCAGCAGCAAAATACCACAAGGCCGTGTTCCCAACCATAAAGTAGTGCAGTCTGCTAAATAAGAGGGTAGAGGAAACCCTGGTATTTACCTGGCAAGAGACCTGGACAAGGTAGACGAGTTCCTTGGATTCGCAGCCGTTCCTCGTTACTTCATTCTGTTCCTCCGGGAGCGAAAGCTGGAGCCGGGAGAGGAGGAGAGAGAGAGAAGGAGCAGGTCAGTGAGGAGGGAGAGCCGCATCCGCGCGCTCCGAGCGCCCGGGAAGGAGCAAAAGGCTCCTCTGCCCGCAGCTCTCAAACAGAAAATAGTCAGTGCTCGTCGTTTGCGGAGACCTTCTGCAATCTGGCTGCATTTTGGCAACTCACCTGAGAGTTTAGAAATAAAAATACGGGTCAGAAACCGAGGATTCACAGCCAGGGGATGGGTTCGAGGCAGGGGTTAAACACCCACCTTGACAGGTCTGTCAAATCAACTGGCCACTGAAAGTATCCCCATAAATATCCAGGTGATAACAGTGATTCCTCCTCCCAGGATTATTTGCTAGATAATAAAACATATCTCTCAATATCAGTGTCGTGAAGCAAGAGAGCTTCATTCACCCAATACAGGACACATCCACACAACCTCAGCACAGGCTTTTTCCAGGGAAACTGCTTCATTCCCGTACGTGTAGCAAGTGTCAGGGAAGACCGAGTCTCAGCCTGTACTAAAAAACTCATTGGAAAACAGTTTATAACTGTGGGAAGGAGCAGGGGAGAGGGAAAAACAACCTTCCTGCTTACAGGGCTTCCTCCAAGGGAACATGTACATCAGTAAGGGCTGTAATTTTGGAACGATGTCTCCCTAGAACAGACGAAATAGTCCCAAAGATTTCCAAGAGCAGGAGCCTGGCCAAAGCAACAACCATGATCTCAGTGTGTCAACCAATTTAATAGAAACAGCTTCGCCCTGGTAACTTGAAAGACAAAACTAAACTGCAGAGCTCATTCCTAGGGATGTATTGCCAAAAAAAGAGCAGGGCTGCCTGGCCAAGACTTTCTTGGTCACGAGTACAGACGGGACTTGCAGATACTTCAAGTTCAGTTGGTCTCCTTCCCCCCAAGGAAGAGCAGCTCATCCCTAGTAAGTTAGCAGATAAGGATGGTCATTAGCAGAGCCTCCTGCAGAGGGTGAGTTATTCATTATTCCTCCAACAGGGAGAGGGGCAGCAACAAAATAAACTGGAGAAACGCTCAGGAATCTGCTCGAAAACTCACGGTTTTGTAGCACATGGGTCGAGGTGGCAGCAACGCTGCAGCAGCCGCTTCTGCCAGCGGCTCCAGGGCCGTGGAAAGGCTGATGCTTTTCCTGGCAAGGGCCGTGTCATTGTTCCAAGGAAACCTGGTCATCCATCCTCTCACATTTTTCCAGGATGGAATTCAAGGTTTGCTCCCTGGCAGAGGCAGCCAGACACACGCGACTGAGATTTCTCAAGCTGAGCCATAGCAAAAGCTCATTAAGTTTCCAAACCACTGTTGCATCTGCTAGTTTTCCTGACAATATTAGAAATAATTCGAAATACTTTTTTTCCAATTTCTTTCTGAACCTCTGCACTTCCAATGTCTCCTTCGTGTCTGTCCTCTCGTTAGCTCACGATGTTTGTGCAGTTGAGCAAACCAGAGGAGTGAGAAACCACAGGGCAAATACCACCTTTCTGCATCGCTTTGGAATGCGGGTGTTGGGTGAAAAGTATGTCTGATGGCTAAGAGCAAGAAACATGAGGCTAATTTTCCCCGTTAAGTATTTCTCTGCTTTATTTTAAAAAAATAAAGAAAAATCTAGGGCCTGAATATCTTTGGGACAAATCCTGAAGCAGCTAAATGCCTAAATACTGATTAAAGTCAGACATGCAAAATCACTGTTAAGAAAAAGCCTCTCTCAGCTCTAGTCTCGTCAGTAATAGGTGCTACTTTTGCTATCTCTTAAATTAGGCTGGTGATTCAAGCACCACTTTATCTTCATTTACCTCAATCCATTATTTATATCAAGTCTGGCTAATGGAGCACCTTCAAAAAACCGGTTTTTGGTACCTTTGAAGTTACTATTTTATTATACTCAAAGTGAAAACCTTTTTCACACGGACGGACACATTTTCCAGGCAATTATTCTGATGGCATAAATGTCTTTATCAGGCCTCTTTCACATTGGTTTGTGAATCGTGTATGATAAAACCGTGTTCAAGCATCAAGGATTAATTCCAGCCACATAAGTTTGCTAATATGGGAGCTGAGGTTGCCCAAGTAACTTAAATGCTGCTTTGCAATGACAGGGCAAAAAGTTTCCATGAAGATCTCTCTTTTTCCATGGCTTAGACATGGCACAATTGAAAACAAGGCTGGAACATGTTAAGGAGAATACTAGTGGTAGAGGGGAAATTACACACATGCCTCAGATACACAAGATCAGGGCTCTTTTGGTGCCATTTCCTTGGTTTTGGGGTCTTCAGTGAGGTCGAGCACTCTGTGACTTGCCTCTTTACTGCAACGTCTGGCTTGGAAAAAACTTCCAGCCCCTTTCCCAGGACGAGCTGACAATGTAGACTGCCTATGTAGACACTGCTGCAGTTTGTTTTCTTCTTAAGCCAAGTATATTTGATCCCTGAGCTTGCAGAGACATTAAATCTCACGGAGTTTTATCAGAGAGACTTCTTCCAGATTTCCCTGGCTTGCGTAGCAAGTGTTTTCTCATATGGTCTCACCCATTTATTTCATCTAAATGTGCAAGAAGGTCACTCTCCACCACGAGCAATGAAATATTCATAAAAACTTCTCAGATGCAGCCATTGGGGACTGCATTAGGCAAAAAACAACTTCTTCATGTTTGGAAACAGAATGTTTTCACGCAGCTAAAATATCTGCTGTTAATAAAGACACCCTGTGTGGAGCAGGGTTCTCAATTCCTCACTCTGTGCTTCTAATTCCGGAGGTTTCGATGCCAGCAACACGTAACTTGTCAGGGGGCTGTGCCCTGAAGCTGCAGAACTTCCCAAGTCGCTGCCGGGGAATTCATTGCTTTTAAAACCTGGAGGAGAAACATGCACCAAAGCAACACGCTGCAGCGCACTGCAAGGAATCAGGCAGGAAAACCAGGAGCCCCATGGAAAGGCTGCGGATGAGGAATTTCCGTCTCGCAGCGGGCGAGCGGGGCGCTGGAGAAGCCCTGCCACGCGCTGGAGAGCAGCTAGGCCAGGGAGGACCACGTAACCGAGGCACAAAAATAACCCTGCTTTGGCTCTGGGTACAAATTACGCGGCTTTCCGCAGGCAGAGAGAAGCTCCTGCGTGTCCCGTCTGCAGCCGTGGGGCAAGGGGCAAAACTCGGCATCGTTCCGTGTCCTGGACCTGTTGGCACCACCTCAGAGCAGCCCCGAGGGCTAAAAGGGCAACTTCTGAAGCAGCAACACGGGCAAAGCTGCTCCTTGGAAGTCCAGAAAGGAAAGGCTACTTAGAGCAAGTTAATTATTTACTGGCTGGGAATCCTGCAATCTAGTAACAACTTAGCTGCCTATTGCAGATGTTTCTACAGCAGGGATAGGCAGGGGTTTTTCTTTCCTTTTTTTTTTTTTTTTTTAAGCGATAAATATTACTTTATATTCCAGGCGGTCTTGAAGACAGACACAGGAAGGAATAATGAAAAGGAAGTGAATTATAATATTTTGATCTTACGAAGAAATTGCTGGTTGACCTACCTCATAAAATGCAAGCGTTCTGGGTATTATTAGCAGCTGTTTGGAACACTTTTAGTAGTAAACAATGCAGTAAATAGTGTTAGAGGGATCTCATTTTGGTAATCAGTGAAAGATTCCCCAAAATTAAATAATAAAAAAGGGCCTGCAGAGCCACTCACCTCCTCTGAGGTGAGAAACCCCCCGGGGTTGTTCCTAGCCCCTCTCTCAGTGCATTCCTTATACACCAGCAACACGGCTCCCACGCTGACTTCCCTGCAAAAACGCTCCCAAAGGCCACAGGGTCCTGTCGGGAAGGGCCCTGCCGACCACGGAGCGCTGCAATCTGCGAGCTCGCACAAAAACACCATAAATCCCCCCGCTTCCAGCCTGCAAAGAAACCGCTGCCTGCTAAATCACCATCCGATTCCATCGTTTCGCTGTCACCGCCACACTTGGCGCTGCCCTGAAGGAATCCTCCCGGCTGCCGTTGTTTTTATTTTATTGTTATTTTAACATCGTGCCGGTAGCAACGTAAATGCCGACAAACCCCCCGGGGGCGGCGCGAGGATGCCCGGAGGCCGCGCGCTACTCACCCCCGCGCGGGGCTCCTGCCCCAGCCCCAGCAGCTCCGCGTCCCTCCGTCGCTTCCCAGCGGCTCCTTGGAAAAACCTCCCG